CCCGTCCACCAATCCAGCTCAGCCCAAAAGAGTAGTTCGAACAGTTCCTCTGAGCGGAACTGAGCTGAGCTTGTCGACCCCTAATCTTTATTACACGTCTTTAATTGTTTTAACCAGTGCATTGGATAAATTTTTAAATTTCTCTGCATTTGGAATGTACCTTAATTTAGTAATTATCGAGGTTTTGCCTTTGATTTCAAAAATTACCAATTCTGATTTCTATATTTTCTTCAGAAAAAAATTAATAGGTTTTCTACAAGCTCTTTCAAAATATATTAAAGATGGATTTTATAGTTGTTCCGATTCGTAAAATAAAAATGAAACTTTGAAAAAATCTAAAAACTCGGACATTTTAATGCAGAATCTACTTAAAGAGAGATACATACTTGGAAATATAGAGTTAATATTAGATGTGAGTTGATTGACTAAACTGTTTTTTTTAATTATTTTGTTGTTTCCTTTTCTGCTTAAAAAAGTTGGATGAAAAGTCCGATTTTTCAACATAAATTAACTTTATTCAAAATTTCACATGGGAAATATTTTATTCAAAACATTTTATCTATATCTATATATATATATCCGAAGGATGTTAAGTAAATAATAATTTCAGCCATCTCATTTTTTTTTAAAAGAATTTAAAAACTTGTTGTTTTCTTTAAAAAAATTCAAAATTCAAATTCTTTGTATGGCATTGATGAAATAAGTTATTTAAACATGAATTTTATTTCTCATTAAAAGACAGCATCAATTTTTGAAAGACATGATTATCTAACTGAACCAACAGGTTATTGTGAACATTGTTTAAATATACTACATCCAAATAAAGATCGATATTATTCATGTGAACAATGTCCATCTAGTTTTGATATTTGTATGAAATGTATAAATTTGATGAAAACCGAACATGCACCACAACATTCATTTAAAAAAGACAATTATTCAATGAATGAAGCTATGATGATACATTATAATACATCATGTGATGGTTGTAAAACAGTAAATTTTAAAGGTATCAGATATCAATGTGATGAATGTCGTGAAAGTTATGATTTATGTGAATCGTGTTATCAAAAAAGAAATAATTTACATCCTAATCATAACTTTAAAATTGTTCAAAGTCCATTATTACGACTTAATAATCGTATATTATTAGCTAGACGTGCAATTCAAGTATTTAAACAATTTCCAAATCTACAATATGATCCTGTAACAGGTTATACATTGAATGATGCACAACAAGTAAAAGAACAAGAAGAAGAAAAAATTGAATCAGTTTTGGGAACAACGTTTACAAGAAGCAAAAAAGGATCTGGATCATAAGAGAAAAATGCATAAAATGCACATGGATACTTTACAGGATATAGGATCGATAATGGATCCAAATTATCATGTAATACAAATGAGAAGCGATGATGATTATTAGTCTTTTTTTTTGCTGCTTACATTTGATTTTACATATTCATGCTTTCTGTTCAAGAAAATTGTGAAAAATTAAACAAAATAAAATATAAAAGAAACATCTTTCTTACCATATTATAATTGTTAGTGCTTTACTTATTGATTGTAGAACACAACAGAATCATATAAAAAGATTCAAGTTTGTAAAAACCATTTTATCTTTGAGATATGTACAATGAATATCTATTCTTTCTGAAACATCAATAATTCTTTTAAGGATAACTTTCCCTTCTAGTTTTCAATAATAAAAGAATCATTTCTTTTTTTTTCGCAAACTGTTGTTTGACGAACTCATATAGTCTACAATGTACTCTTTACAATGTCGGAAATGAATTATTTGTTTTAGAAGAACTATTCTCAATTAAATTGTTCGACCTCTGGATATTTCTGTCTCTTTTGTTGTTAAACTGTTCAACTAATAGTCAAACGTATAAAGAAAAACGAAAAATGCAGTATTCGAGCACAAATAGCTATTTATATTTTGACTTTTTTCCAAAAATGAATTTTTTCATATAAATTATATTGAATTGTCTCATTTCTCGGACACTCTACGTTTAACTAAGTTGTAGATTTTTTGGAGATACAAGACATTACTTGGGATCAGTATCTTTATTTTCTTTTACATATAAACACATATTACTTTGACAATTTTGAATAGACTTTACAAAGTTTTTCATATTTGAAAAACAAGATAAAAACAGACAAACAACTGTTCATTGAAAACAATGTCTGCTACGTAGAGAAAATTTGGAACTTGTCAAGGGTGAGGGTGAATCTAGCAACTATAATCGGTTTCGACACTAGTAAAGGGTCTCATCGGATAAATTTGACTTCGTAACTATCCAAATGATCACAAGATCACAAATAATATTTGAAGAATTAAAGGTGCAGATTAGGTATTTGATGGTGCTTCTATGAAATATGATCGAAAATATGTATCTCTGTGAGTTGTAAGGATTTTATTGTAAAATAATGATGAAATAGGCTTCGCAGAAGAAAGTTTTCGTCTGATTTCCAGTCTTGAGAAATCAGAGGGTTATGATGTCTCTGTTTTTTATTTAATTTTGTTGTGCTGCGTGTATGCCTTTTCTAATCGATTGCCGATGCATTAGTATTCTCGTTAATTTTTGGATTGTTTCTATTGTCAACAATAAGCTTAATGTTTTCCATCATTGGATTACTGAATATTTGATTCCAAAATTGATGAATATCTCGTTTGAATTTTGTAAATCGTGCTTCATGAGTATTATGACTTATTAGATTACTGTTCCATTTCGATTTCTTAGCAATATTTACTGTAACTGATACGCTATCTCTAATATCTTCTTTGTTATGATCCAGAGTTGTAGCTATTATCGCAGCTATTTGATGTTTAGCAGGTGTGATTTATTAAATAAATAAGATCGTATAAAGACAAATAACGTTCATCGACATTCAATGTCGATTCACTTGGCCCTAGACTGAAGAAATAATGACCAAGATATCCTTATATTTAAAAAAAAGAATTCTGTATAATTATGAGCTTAGGAGAAATTATTAATATTTGTAGCATGTCTAATATTACATACCATCGATATATTCAAATAGTTCAAATAAAATATTGAAACATGCTAATGTATATGATAAAGTTTATGCTTTAGTTAATTATGACGACTAAAACTTGTGATCTATGCAAAAGTAATGGCCGTTTCTAATACTGGAATGGCCAATTCATATATGTCAAACTTGAAACTTGAATTCAATTGAAATTTCAACTTTCAACTGAAATTTCAAGTTTCAACTTTCAACTTTCAACTTTCAAGGGTGTGGGTGTGGGGTGTCGGTGTGGGTGTGGGTGTG